GATTCAAGCCATACTGGGTGGCGGTGAGGGAGGTGGGAGACGGAGGTCAGTTTTTGGCCAAGATGAATACTGTAATATATTTTGAAGCTCCGGAAGTGGGAACATCAAGGGACTTATGCGACGCAGATGTGAAGCTTGATACGAGGTGGACCTCAAGATGTCTCTTGACGTGCTGCGTCCAGGAGTAGCTTTTTCGTCGACGGTGACGCCGATCAGTTCCTTGGTGGCAATACCGTTAGCGGATGGTTGTCCGCATGAATATGGCGCTTGGGCGGGGTTGTGGTAAATTGCTCATCACGACTTCTACATATGATAGTGACGTGATTTCGCGTCCAGCGAGGCAGGTTAGTCGAGGGTGCGCTGGATAGAGGAGTGGTCAGGGCAGGAATTGTCAAATTGTCGGTGGAGATGGTCTTTATCCACGTATTTCCCATCGCTGCTTAACGTCCAGGAGCTCGGCCACTGTCTTTCCTCTAGTCCCCGTGGGTACTCCACACGAGAGTGGCAGCGGCTGGACTTGACCCTGCACGTACACACTTGTTGCATATATAATACAGACAAGAGTCTATACCACCAGAGGATGAGGCACTCCCTGATAGCCATAAAAGGAAGCCTGCCGCTTTTGGATGCACGGGGTGTGGCCACCAGGTCGAAGGCTTTCGCTTGATCGATGAAGCTACTGGTGTGGAGGATTGCATTATAGAGTGGGTAGGATTTGGAACTGATGAGTTAATGTGTGGTAAGGAGGGAGTGCTGTTGCCGAACTGCGACCGTCCGCAGGGGTCCCTGGTAGCCCAGTCGGCGACAAAGCTTTCACGCAGTAGACTGGGCAATGTTGTAATGGGCGATATGTCTTAGTTCACAAAATGAAGCAAGGCTTGGAGTTTTTCCCGAAGGCACTGACAAAGGCGGTCATCCATTGTGATAGGATCAAATCTAAGGTTCTTTGTTCCTAAGTGGGAAAATATGTAACTCGTTTTTGCAGGTCAAGGGTGTTTATTTCATTAAAATCACCTCATATAATCATCTTGCATGATGGATATCACACTCGCAGAAAGTCAGTGGTGTGGTTCAGGTAGCAGCTGTTTGGTGGGAGCACAAATAGAGCATACAGCAGGCGAGGGGTTGTTTAGAAACCGCAGAATGATTCTTCCTCCCTGTTTGTTGCACAATTTTGGAAAACTGTACCAGAATCGGGGAACTTCAAATGTTAGGTCAGTGTGTGGGTGTGTGGTTGTATGTGTGTATTATGTGTACATATATATATAATATATATATATATATATATATATATAATATATATATATATATATATATATATATATATATATATATATATAATTTATAAGGCAGGAGTAGAGGAGGTATATTGTAAAAAATGCAAGATATATACGAAGATGGGACAGCAGCCATCAAGCTCCACACGGAAACCGATAAAATACCAATTAAGAAAGGTGTTAGACAGGGCGATACCTTCTCACCAAAATTCTTTACAGCTTCCCTTGAAGAAATATTCAAGAAGCTACAATGGAACCGAAAGGTTATCAAAATAAGAGAGAAATACCTAAACAATCTAAGATTTGCATATGATATTGTTCCTTCAGTGAATCTACTAATGAAATGCAGCGAATAATAATTAAAGCGACGCATCATTCTAGGCTGGGGTGCTTTTGGCAGACACAGCAGTATATTATGAGCTTCTTGCCATTATGTTTAAAAAGAAAAGTCTTTAACTAATGCAGCCTCCAGTTATGACCTATGGATCAGAAACATGGACTACAATCCAAATTACTGGAGAGGAAACTAATAAGTGGCCAGAGAGGGATAGAGAGGTTGTTGCTGGGAATTAGCCTAAGAAATCGGATGAGGGCGACGTGGATCAGGGAACAGACAAAAGTGGAAGATATACTAGTGAGCATCAAAAAGAAAAAAATGTCAATGGGCAGGTCATATATGTTGAAGACAGGACGACAGATGGGCCATTAAAATAACAGAGTGGGCTATAGACAGCATAAAGGGCCCAAGGGCCATACCAATGGCAAGATGGCGAAATAACGAAATTTGGGGCCTAGACTGGAAACAAAAAACGAAAGACAAAGTTTGAGAAATACTGGGTGAGCCTACGTTCTGAGTGGATTGATTCGCTATGAGAACACACACACCACACACACCACACTACACACAACACACACACACACACACACACACCACACACCACCACACACACACACCACACACACACACACTCATAATATACATATACATACATCATATATATATATATATTATATATATAATATATATATATATATATTATATCATATATATATATATAGATATATATCCCTGTGGTGTGTATGATATATACATATATATTTCATATAGATACATCTATATAATATATATATATATATATATATATATTAATATATCTATAATAATATTATATATATATATATAAGTGTGTGTGTGTAATATAATACATATATATTTCTAATAT